GCTGTCCGGGCAAGTCTTCCGAATGGGTGAAGCTTTGTGATAACTTCACGAACTGATAGAGAGCAACTTCAGAGGTGATCTAAACTGTATTGTATCGAAAAACTTGAAATTTTTTTTTTGTAAAAAATATTAATGACTTAGCTGAAGCAGGGCCGGTCGCTGTGCACGTAAATATGTTTTACTTTTCAGCTTTAGCTTTATATGATAAGAACGGACTTATTAAATTTATAAGAGAATTAAAATACGCATCATAAATTTAAAGTGGATGAAGTTATCAAAATTTTTTCATGCAGTTTCAAATGATTAGGGTTTTGTAAGTTTTTGCATTATTATCTTTTGATAAGGACTAAATATTTATTATCAGAGTTTACAATCAGTAACATGAAAGTTTGTGACATTTCAGTGTGACGAGACTGAAGCGGATAATACAATACTTATTTTAAATGTCTTTTTTCTGTCTTCAAAAAAGCGGTCACAGGCTAAGGAATTTCCAATTTTTGAGAGGTCATGGTGCGATTATTCAATACTGAATAAAGCACATCTCAAGCCTTTCCTATGGAGCACGTTATCATCATCATCATTATTACAGTCCTTCACGAGTCTACTGCTGAAAATAGGCCTCCCTCAAGGAAGTCCACAAAGCACTAGGTCGTCACTTGATCTAGTGGGGGGCCACCCTACACTTCGCTTACCGGTACGAAGTTTCCACTCGAAAACATTTCCTCCCATCGGTTGTCGGTTCTTCGAGCTATACGGAAGGACTATTGCCTTTACCTTACTTATCCGTTGGGCTATTTATTATCAAGCATGTGATTAACAAAATTGTGAATTTTCAATTAATTTACTGAGCATTGAATTTGGGTTTCTTGCAATCTACGAACTTCAATTCGCTGCGTCGGTCTCAAAAATACCAATCTTCTCTATGTGATAGAGTTCCTATATATCTCTTATTTAGAAATAAACGGTAATATGTACCTTATTTAAAACTAACGACACTAGCCGGCTTCGTCTACGTCACATCTATTAACGTGGTGTTATTTAGATTTGAGATAATCATTAAAGGGTCTTACGTGCTAGAGCCACGCTACAGTTATATTATGATTGCAGTACGAATGGGTCGTGTCTACCGGATCAGGACCACACTGTCACAGAATACCAGCGTATAATAGCAGCTTAATGCAGCTGTGTTTCGTATAGTGATTGTAGAGAACCGAAGACCGTTTTTTCTGAAAACGACGTATTCTATCTTAGTCCTCAGGAGTGCATTTTGATTCTTAATTGAGAATAGATAGATGTAGATATCTATGGGCCACCGCATCCACTTACCATCAGGTCGACTGTGTGCTCATTTGTCACTTTTATTCAAAAAATAGAGCATACTAGAACAAATTTACTTCCTTCCCTTCGTTTTTAATATTATTTATAGAAATAAATTTGTAAAAAATAATACATGAACATAATACATATATAAGTGTTTTATATAAACATGATCCGTCTTTAATAGATTATACTAATATATTGTGGATTTGTTAGTAAAGTAGCTTCTCTGTATTAACCAACCAATAACCAACTGTTTTTAAATGGACAATTATGAATTAACCATTTTAAAACATTTGGTTATTATTATTGAAAAATTATGTATAACAAAATTTTGAATAATATGACTCACAATTTGAAATTTCGGAAAATTATTATTCCAAAATTTATCACTTGAAGATAAAGTGAAGATTACACGTCAGATATCTAAGACACAGTTTATAAAAAATGATCATCTTTCTCAGAACATGTAATACTGCCGCGATAACTTCATCTCGCCTCTCGCCATTGACTCACGTAAGAGATAAGTAGATCATAATCTGATAAGACATTATAGCCTAAAGATAAACCACAAATGAATATACCAGCTATAACTTATAGCCAGGCCAGTTGGCTTATGCAATATAAAACTTAAATGATAAAAATATAAGTTAAACGACGTACTTGTTGCAAATGCAATTCATGACGTTATGTCACTGGTTACTTACATAAAAAATGAAGGCCGAAAAATGAAACATTGGAAATATTTAGCTCACGCGTGTCCAACGCGACCAAATCAGATGATCAACAGGAGATAATTGTCAACACAACAGAGCTGCACAGTCAATGACGCAGGCAGAAGTTAACTAGCCGGGTGTTGAGTTATGTTCGCGTTGGACACGTTGCGACTCGTGTTGGTTTTATAGTGAAAATTGTACTACTCACAGTTTTAACGGTAGAGAACGATGTACACAAAAACACTTTCGCGCGAATGAACTTGCAGCGAGCGAAGAGAGTATTAGACGAGTGCGTACGGTCACTTTGAAAACACAGACGTGCGAACCGAACAACGTGCGTTTAAAGTTTGAATAGTCCGGTCGCCGGTTCAAGTATATATTATGGGGCGGCAATCGCTGCTATTGGTTGAGCCGCGGCGCGCCCGCTTGACTCACGCATACGTCACGCGTGCAGTGGAAAGCCTTCTTTTTTTTAATAGTAAAAAGTCGCCCATCTGACACCTGTTGTCTACCAAATGCGACACATCTGTGCGTTTGACCTCTGCTTTTGGATTCACTGCCCCGCTCACTACCGATCGGTAGCGCCAGTTTCTAGTGGAATCGTTTTTAATCGGCGCGCTTGGTGGAAACTTTATGACGTATTAAACATAAGATATAGTAATATTCCAATAGCCATTATTTATTAATGAAAATAGATTTTCTACGCTCTTGTGACTCACTTATATGAACTGCATCACAGTTTTTGACATTTTTCTTAACAGCTTTAAGCTTTATGAATTTTAAATTCATTCATTCTGTGACAGTCGATTTAGTCCTCCGCACACGAGGTCTGTGTCTAAGTCGGCAGAATTTTAGAGATTACTCCGTTACTGCTGATGAGTAGATACTATCCTCTTCCCTTTTTCTGCCATCAAATATAAGTTCTTTTTTTAAAGGGTAGGGTGATAAACGAGCACTTAGTCCACCTGATGGTAAGTGGATGCTGTAGCCCATAGACATCTATATCTATCCTCTCGATTACGGATCAAATTGCAGATGCGTTTTCACCCGTGAGGACTAAGATGGAACCTCGTTTCCAGTAAAAAGGGTCTTCGGTTCTCTACACTCACCACACGAAACACGGCAGCATTAAGCTACTATTTTACGCTGGTATTCTGTGAGAGCGTGGTCCTTCCCCGGTCGAGCCGACCCAATAGTGCTACAACCATAATATAGCTGCAGCATGGCTCTACTACGTACAACCAGGTGATGAAAAAGAATGAGAATATTTACTACATGCCAAAAACGATTGGAATATGTCTACTATTAAACAACATAACAAACTTTACAATTCTCTTATATGTTAGCATTATTTTGTAGTTATTTTACATAACAATAAAAACTCCATGTATGACTTTATTTAGGACGCATTTTCACTTAAATCTCCCCACGTTCTCCCTATGTTCTAAGTAAGAAATAAGAAAATATCTAACTCTTTATGTTTGCGTAATCTGTTAACCTACGTAATATACAAATATTTATAAAAAAATTACGTCAGTGAATTATCTTTTGAATTTTTCTTTTTTTTTTCCTTCAAAAAAGTTATATACGTAAACAAATTGCACATGGACAAAGATCTAGACTTGTAATAATTATTTGTATGGCATTAGAAACACTTGTTTCGTGCAGGATTCGAACTCGCAGTGCAGCAGCCTAATATTGAACCTGTGCGCTACGAATCCGTTACATTTATTTACATTGACTCATGGAGCTATGGAGAGGGTTATGCTTGGGGTTTCTTTGCGTGATACATTTAGAAATGAGGATTTCCACACTTGAACCAGAGTGACCGACATAACCGAACGGATTAGTAAGCTGAAGTGGCAATGGGACGGCCATGTAGCTCGAAGAACGGATAGCGAGAAAAGGTTCTCAAGTGGCAGCCTCGTACCAGTAGGCGAAGTGTAGGGCCACTCCCCGCTAGATGGAGTGAAGACCTGGTAAGACATGCAGGAATTCGATGGATGCAGGTGGCTCAGGACCGTGCTTTGTAGCATTTCTTGGGGGAGGCATATGTTCAGCAGTGGACTTGTGTAGGGCTGGGGCTGTGAGGGACTGTTGTGTGTGTGATAATTATTTATCGATATATAGTTACTAAAAAGTTGTGTAATTGCAAATAATCATCGCAGAAACTATAGAGCTATTTTTGAAATAGGAGAAGAAAAAAAAGTTAAGGAATGTTGAAACAACAACTTTCGCCAAAAGTCTCTCTCTCACCCTGACTCTTGCACGCAATGCACCCTGCGAAACATTGAACAGTGAAATTGGTGCTCAGTTGGTCCTTTTGAAAAAAACCACTTTCGAAGTTAAACTTCTTTAGGCGCGTCTTGAGAGTAACTTAGATCTTTTTTCAGACGGAAGTAACATTCAGACCATCTACGGTCCATTACGCAGTTCCCACGCGCGTTATTTATAAAAAGAGCGACTATCTAATATATAGGTTAAATATTTATTTATTTAATTTACATGTACATAAATATATTTCTTATTTACTTTATATAGTTCCGTAGTAGCTCAGATGGTTAGCGCTCGCTGTAAATTTCACAGTACGCGAGCAAACCGGGTTCGATCCCCGCCGGCACCAATGAAATTGTTAATTGCAATTATAAGTGATAATTTACCACGTGCTCGGCGGTGAAGAAAAACATCGTGAGGAAACCTGCATGTCAGAGAAATAAGAAAAAAAATATTTCGAAGACATGTGAAGTTCGCCAACACGCATTGGGGCAGCGCGGCGGACGATTCCTTGCCCTAAAACCCTCTCAGAAATGAGCGGAGGCCTGTGCCCAGCTGTGGGACATATGTAGGCTGTAACTTTACTTTACTTTTATATAGTTCAATAATAATAATAATAATATCTCTCTCATCGGCAGACTAATATGCTTCAGATCAGGCAACAACAGGCCAAGAATTGTGCGCACCGTCAGGATGGCGTTTGCTGGGACAAATGTCAGTTTGTCCCAGCCGGATATAACGCAAAAACTGACGGAGCGCATAGATGATCTGAAGCAGAGAATCGCTGCTTGGGGAAAGCGGATTCGGCGATATACCGAGAGGTCGACACGGTTCAACCAGAATCGTCTCTTCCAGAGTGATCAGAAGAGGCTCTATGAATCATTGGAGCGACCAATGGTAAGTGGAACGGGTCCAGCACCGAATCAGGCCGACACTGTAGCATTCTGGCGCGGCCTGTGGTCAGAGCCCGTAAACCACAGCGAGGGCCCTTGGACGGAAGTTGTGGCGAGTCAGTGTGCGGGTATTACGCCCATGGACCCCGTCATCATAACGCCGGATGACGTAGCTGAGGCGGTTCGTAGGGCCCCGAACTGGAAAAGTCCGGGGCTTGACGGGCTGCATCACTACTGGCTGAAGGGGTTCATGGTGTGTCACTCTGTGCTCGCCCGACAGTTTCAAGAGGCTCTCAACCAGAAGTCGCTCCCAAGCCTCTTCACTACTGGGATCACTCATTTAGTTCCTAAAGACCAGGGTACCACAGACCCGAGCAAATACCGCCCCATCACGTGTCTACCGACCATATACAAGACACTAACATCCATTTTGAGCGCGAGAATCACTTGTCACCTGGACTCAAATCAAGTGATGTCGCGCGCTCAAAATGGATGTCGGGGCGGTGGTCGTGGAACCAAGGAACCACTCCTCATTGACGCGGTCATTGGCAAAGTGGTGAAACGCAACCGTCGGAACTTCTCCGCCGCCTGGATAGACTACAGAAAGGCATTCGACTCGGTGCCCCATACATGGCTAAAGAGAGTCCTCGAGCTGTACAAGATAGACTGTACAGTTAGAGACTTCCTCGAGCAGTGTATGGGGCAGTGGAGTACGATCCTTTGTCATCTAGGCGAGCGGATGATGGCTGCGGAGAACCACATAAGGATAAGAAGGGGTATCTTCCAGGGCGATTGTCTGAGTCCAATCTGGTTCTGCCTCTCTCTGAACCCTCTCAGTACCTTACTGGAGGGCTCCGGGAGGGGATTTCAGCTACGGAAAGGAGGGACAAAAGTGACCCACCTTTTCTATATGGATGACCTCAAGTTATTCGACTCCAGTCGCTCCCATCTTATGGAATTGCTAAACATCGCTTGTGAATTTAGCAATTCCATTGGAATGGAGCTGGGGACGGATAAGTGTGTGGTCCTCCATGTTGAAAGGGGAAGGGTTGCTAACTCTGAGGGCGTAGACTTATCTATGCCCGTCAACTTAAGGACCCTTTCCGAGGCTGAAACATACCGATACCTGGGTATGTCACAAAACATCGGTATCGATGAGACTGGTATGAAACAGTCAGTTTGCGACGTGTTTTATGCACGCTTGACCAAAGTGCTTAACAGCCTTTTGTCCGGTGTGAATAAGGCACACGCATATAACGGCTGGGTCATGCCTGTCCTCATGTATACCTTTGGCATACTCAGGTGGACTCAGACTGAACTTAACGCCCTGGATAGAAAAGTCCGCACTACAATGACGTCCCATAGGATGCATCATCCGAGATCGTCGGTAATGAGGCTGTACTTGCCGCGGAAGCATGGTGGTCGTGGCTTCTTGAGCGCGCTCACCATGCATAATCGCGAAGTGTGCAGCCTCCGTGATTACTTCCTGGCGAGATCGGATGATCCATTCTATAAGGACGTCATTTCTTGTGATAAAGGACTTACCCCTCTATCCTTAGCCAACGAGCAATGGCAAGACCCGGCAGTGCAGAGCATTTCCGACCGGGAGACCGTATGGAAGGAGAAGGAGCTCCACGGGAGGTTCTACAAGGCTCTACATGAGCCTTTCGTAGACACAGTAGCCTCCCTCCACTGGCTACGCTTTGGTGATCTCTTCGGGGAAACCGAGGGTTTTGTCTGTGCAATACAGGATCAGGTTATTAAGACCAACAACTATCGGAGATACATCCTAAAGGATGGCACCGTCGACATCTGTCGAGCTTGTCGCCATCCCGGTGAGTCACTTAGGCATGTTATCTCCGGTTGTTCGGCGCTTTCTAACTCTGAGTACTTGCACAGGCACAACCTAGTAGCCAGAATTCTACACCAGGAGCTCGCTCTGAAATACGGTCTCGTGGATCGGAAATTGCCGTATTACAAGTACTTGCCGGAAGCCGTGCTCGAAAATGATCGCGCCAGGCTCTATTGGGACCGGGCCATCATCACAGACAGGACTATTCTTGCGAATAAGCCTGATATTGTGCTGATGGACCGGGCACAGTCAAGGATATTTTTGGTCGACATTACCATTCCGTATGACGAGAACCTCGTGAAAGCCGAAACAGACAAGCAAACAAAATATCTGGACCTGGCTCACGAGGTAACCGACATGTGGGGTGGTCTGCCGACCGAAATTATTCCTGTAGTCGTCTCTGCAAACGGGCTAATCCCAGTCAGCCTCTCGGGTCATCTGAGGCGGCTGGGACTACGTGGCGGACCGCTCCAGGTTCAAATGCAGAAGGCGGTGCTCCTCGATACCGCCCGCATCGTCCGCCGGTTTCTTTCCCTTTCCCCCTAACCCTCGGCCGTTTGGTCTCCCCTGCCGAGGGCCTCCATCTGGTTGGGCTTTTATTTATTTATGTACTTTTATATTTATTTTATGTTATTGATATTTATGTAAATTTGTCTTTTCATTTTCATTTATAATTATATATTTATAGCACCCAACCAGATGAGAAAACTATATAGATACCCCTAAATAATAATATAATTTGAACAATAAGTAGAAATTTATTTATTACTAATAAACAACTGATAACAACATGATGAATAAAAGCAATACAATTAATACATAATAAAAATAATCATTTTAATTATTTATTACTATTATTCAGTTTTCATTATCGACTGCGCGTAAAATAAAATGTCCTTTTAGTGTAATAAAAATTATTTTAAGTATGCACGATCTTGCCTTACATTAGAAGAAATGAGAATCTCAGCAATAGAACGAACCGATAGTATAGATTTGGTATATTCAATAATGCCTTATTGAATATACCAAAATAAAATCAAGCGTTATTTAACGGAAATCTATTAAATTCTTTTAGTTTGATAATAATTGTAAAAACGTGAAGTTTAGTAATGATATAACCATAAAAATATAGTAGTAAAGACGTAAAAATAATTAGCTAAGGTCTAATATTTACGAGAATACTACAAATGACATGAAACTAATTTTTATATGTGTTACCCAAAATACACAGACCGAACGCTGCACTACTCCCCATAGTCCAATTTGAGAGCCAAATTGATTTCCCAACGTATAATTGATCTGATGGTAAGTGGAAGCTGTGACCCATGGACATTTACAATTATCCTCTATTAAGAATCAAAACGCAGATACGTTATCACCCGTGAGGTTTATGATGGAATGCCTCGTTTCCATTAAAATAGGGTCTCCTAATCTCTACACTCACCATACGAAACACAGCAGTATTAAACTGCTATTTTATGCTGGTATTCTGTGAGAGCGTGGTCCTTCCCCGGTCGAGCCGACCCATTATTGCTGCAACCACAATATAGCTGCAACGTGGCTTTACCACGTAAAAACGTGTGGGTGTGTAAACCTCTCATAACTTTTGAACGGCTTGACCGATTTGAACGAAATTGGTGGCGTTCGAAAGGGTTTCATTCACTGACCTCTATATATATACAAGTACTGTATATATAGAGGTCAGTGGTTTCATTTAACTTAGGTTTTTATTACAATTTCAACCGATGTGGGCCAGTAGATTTTTAGACATCTGAAAAATAAAATTTTCTAAAAATAATTTTTTGGAAAAACTTTTAAACAGATGCAACGATCAATTCCAAAATCTAATCAGCTTTTAAAAATTAAAAATGACATTGATTGCTGCGAACCGTTCCAAAATCGGTTATGCGTTGAAGTGAAATCAATGACGATTTTTTTTTTAAATTTAAAAAATATGTTTTTCACATAACTTTTGAATTTATAGTCTAATCGTTTTTTATACTAAATTTTATTATTATTCTTGAAACCATCGTCAATTGTCACCAATTATATCAAAATCTGTTGATCTGTTCGAAAGTTATCGTTGTCAAAATATTTCAAAAAGTATTATTCAGGTCCAGTCGTATAGGAGGACACACACACACACACACACACACACACACACACACACACACACACACACAACAAAACACCGCGCGCACGCACGCAGCACAAACCCTGTTTAAAAACAAGACGCACTTACGGTTCCATATATATATACTTAAAGTCAAACTGATATAGTTTATAAGTCACTTACTGTTTTTTCTTCTTAAATTAATTTTTACGTAAGTTTTATAAATTAGTCTCAATATTGTTAATAATTAAGGGAAGAGCGAGATAGCCCCAACACAAGTATTATTAATTACTTACTGGGGATATCTCATTTATAATACATGTAACTGTTTTGAGGCAAATAAAACAGTTTCATTTTCATTTTTTTTTCATCATCAACATCACACTCCAGGGCACAGGCTTCCTCTCATTGCTGAGAGGGTTTGACTTGAAATTTGGCATTCTCCTTTCTCGACGTAGATAAACACGGAGATAAGACTGGAAAATTCGAGCCCCGAGGGCGTAAAATAGGGTGTTTACAGCTTGTATAAAGATAAAGTTGCATTAATGATACTTCACAAATTAACATTTTCACGCCTAACGGCATTAGTTAAACCATATATTATGTACATTTTATCATGTAAAAATTGCGAAATTCAATACACCAGACATTAGACGGTAAAACCTTGACACCTGGAATTAACGAATAAAAGTAACTGTCAACTTCATCAAGGCTGCTTCACTAACACAATCATTGCAACGGTGTACCGAAAAATGCGATCCTTGTCTATTCTAAGCGTAGAGTGTAGACAGCGTTAGACGTACACCAATAGTACGTTCTCATTGCATCAGACGAATGTAGGTAACTCGGCCCTCTCACCCGAAATATCTTCCAAGTAGAGTAATTTATCGTGTAAGTTAAAACATTCCACAAATGTATAATATACGTGGATGTGTTAGCATAAAATTACACTCATTAAAATGCTTTATTAAACTAAAGGTACAGAATGAAAATTTGATAAATGAATTAAATTCACGTTGCAAATTGTTAAATTTTTGTCAATGAATATCTATTCCTAATTTTTCAAAACGTCGAGATCTAGTGAAACCTCATTTTCGTAAACTGAAGTGAAGCCAATAATTTTCCAAGTTTTTTTTTTTAAATCCTTGATTTTATTGCGGAAAGTTAAAAATTATCTTATCACAAAAGCGTGACATCGGGTACGTGTTGATAAAGAGGATTGAATACTTCTCCACTTGCTCATACACTTCCTCATCAGCCCGTAAATGTCCAAAGTTGGAACCCCTAGGGGTTCGCTTAACCCGTTTTGAGGGTTCATCAACAATCATTCTGACATTTCCCAGATTTTTTTTTTCGTAAAAACCACCATTCGGTAAATTATTATTAATACCTATCTTGAGCAGATGATAGCTCTCGATCATTCAAAAGTTGTCGTCGTAGTTGCAAATCGGCTAGGATGATACATCTTATTACATGCTCACTATTTTCTTCTTTCCATCCGGTTTGTTTTTAGTGAAGGTGGAAAATAAAACTAATCAGAATCCACCTGCTTGATTGTATTGCCCGAAAACACTTCTAGTTATCGATGATTTTGGCGTAGCACTTTTTAAGTAACTACTCGATATACCCTAAACTATATTTAAAAAAAAAACTTTTGAACTTTAACAGTATTAATTTTTTGTGCGAATTGCGCGGAGAGCTTGTTTTTAAATGTTAATAAAATATTGCTTGTTTCCTAAAAGTTTGATTCCAACATTACTCATATCTTTTCTCGGTGTAATGTCAAGATAGAGTTCTTTTATCGCCGTCAAAACCGATATATATTTACATGATAGAGTCCAAAGCGCACTAGTGTTTTCCAGACCGAGTTTTCAAACATGGCGAGTCACAGCGACCAGTCACAACGGATACTAGCCATCGCGAAAGATAGGATTATAGTGCCCGGATGTATGCGCAAGCACAAGTGCAGTCTCTATTCCTTCACTCTAATAGTCCGATGGGACGGTTATCCGACACGACCGGTGGGAGATCAGGCGCAGAACCGTTGATTTTTTACGTGCTTTCGGACACGGGGGTGAAACACCGCCAACTTCTTAGACTCTGAAAACCTCCTGACTCCTGAGAACTTTTTGACAGAAAAACCCAATAACTGATTTTGACCCGACCAGGGATTCGAACCCAGGACCTCATTATCAGCAACAGCGTTTACTACCACTAGAACAATGGGATAGTCTGCACACAATATATTATAGCAACAGCGCAAATAGGTCGTCAGTCGGGGAGGGATCACGCTCCCACAGAATACCAGGGTAAAATTGCAGCATTATGTAGTTTTGTGTGGTGAGTCTAGAAACCCGAATATCTTTTTACCGATAACGAAACATTTCATCTTATTACTCAGAGACATGTAGACACATGTAGATGTCTATGGACTACAGCATCAACATGATTGTTTGCTACACTTATTTTACTTTGTGACCTTGTGTTCTTTTCATACGAAATTTAAAGGACAGGGAAATGCGCGTATTAAAGGGCCTATACAACATAAGAACAGCCCCCATTAGATTGATTAAATGGTTAGACATGCAGGAAGTCATTTGATGCAGAGGGCTCAGGACCGTACTTCGGGGCTTTCCTCTATGGCCTCTGTTCCGTTGTGTACTTGTGAAGACCTGTAATGCTGATGATTATAGAGCACTGTTCTGCAATAGTCTGATTTTAGTGACATCATGAGTACTCTGAAGTGTATCACTCTTACCAGAAACGATCCTAAAAGTGTATAACTATAATATAAAAACTTGTTTAACAGGCACCGCCGTAAAATAATGGTTGATTAAATCCGTGGTCATTGAACCTTTATGAAGATAGTATGATGGTTGTAATTTCAGAAGTTTCATCTTGAATGATTTTGTTACAGAGGTCGTTGAACCCGATAAACTTCAATAATAGAATGACTTTATGACACGTACTTTGCATTTAAGACTTAATTTTATTGCTAAAAGGTCAACTTGACTTATTAAAATGGACATACGTAAAAACCTCTGTAATGACATGCACTTGCAGATACAAATAAGTAAGTGTGAATGAAAGATGTGATGTGTACTGGAAAATTTCAAATTTTTGGGGGTCGAAATATTGCGACGTTACGGAAAATCTTAGTTAATTTTTTGTACAATTTTAAAATCATTAAGACTTAAAAGGATAGTTTTTGCTGTTTCGTATTTTAAAAACAATGTTTAAATTTTCATTACTTTAACTACCTTTAATCCGACCAATGATAAGATATGGTTATCACAGAAAGTTAGCGTGACTAACAAAGTCAAACTACTAAATTAAGGTATTTTAAATTCACTCTATAGTTGCGTTGTAAGAGGAACCACTCTCTTCATCAGCCCGCTGGTGCAGTAGGAGGTGACGGAGCGAAAGGAAACAGGAGATGTGAAGCAGCATATTCCTGGTAATAACTCAAAACAATAAATAGAACCGCTACGGTTGACAACCCACCTGATAGCGCGGCAAGTATAGAAAATATCCCCCCGATGAGTTTTGTTATTTGTTGACTTTTGATAGGCTTTCATGAATTAATGAAAGTGACAAATTGAAATCCACCAATTGGTAGAGTGGCTACTGCAAACTACCAACTTCAAATAAAGAAATCTACCTGAGCTTTGAAAGTAATAATCAAAATAATTTATTTTATTAAACTCTCAGTTTGACAGTTCTCAGTTCTCAGTACTCGTATCTACAGAACACCAGTGTAAAAAAGTAGCTTAACACTGCTGTAGATCGTATGGTGAGTGTAGAGATCTGGAGACCCTTTTTTACTGGAAACGAGGTATTCCATCTTAGTCCCAAGGAGTGACAACGCATCTGCGTTTTGATTCTTAATCGAGGACAAATGTAGATGTCTATGAGCCACAGCATCCAGTCACCATCAGGTGAACTCTGTGCTCGTTTGTCACCATTATTCTATAAAAAAAGAAAAAAAATGTTGAATATGTACATTAAATTATAAAGCTACAAAGAAGTTATTGTTAACGGCCGTACTAAAATAAACTGTGTTAAAGCCGTCTGTTTAATGAAAAAAATTATGATAGATGATCTTGTGTAATTTATACCGACTTATCTTTTAAACTCAAGCCCTACTGGGTGTACAATAGGGAAGAAGGTGTTAAGTAATCCTGATGAACTAGAAAACAGCACTCCGTTCCTACTTCATGCACGGGAAAATAAATGATCAATCCCTGTTTATTTTCAATAATTACAGAAATAGCAAATAAAATTAAAATCACTATTACCTGCCAGCAACATGTTATCATTATGATCTCTATTCGTATAGCAAATAGCGTAAACAAATATGAAACACTCTTACAATAAACATTGTAGGATGTTTGGTGAGTTATAAACTCCCTATTTACAATTTCATAATATAAAGCAACGTTTACACTATCGCTGCTAAGCTATGGTAACTCAGATGATTAATTTCCTTTAATTTCTATTTATAAAATCAATTGCCGTCCGTTAGTCTCACTGAAGCTGAAAAACAGCTTAAATGGCTTAGATTCGTATTTGGACCTGATAGTTGATACTGTTGTCGAGATATAGAAATCACAACCAACGAATCGCTAGTATAAAATACATTTAGATAATAATAATTTAATTATGTCATATTAATATAAGACTAGTCAGTCAGGCCGACGTTGATCTGCCCTTTCTGACGACTATAACTGACTGATATAAAAATCCTTAAATTCGCAATATAAATATAGAGGGTCACTTTTTTGAGATTAAATCTATCCTATCTCATAACTTGGAGCAAGCAATACAAGCGTTAAATCGGTTGAGCGTTTTCGGAGATTAGCGTGGACGAACCATCGTGAAACGGGATTTTTATATATTAAGTTTAAGTGTCCTGGTAAACATTTTCTATTCATTATATACTATCTTTATATTAAAGTAAAATTTGACGTGGTAGCTGGGAGGCTCACGGTAAATTTAATAATATGCGAGCAGCTCTAGTTCAATCACCGTCAGTTCGTCTAAAATTCACAATTGCAATTTTAATTGCTCAACGGTTTATGAAAACTTAGTTAGAATTCTGAATATCTAAGAAACTTCAGGAATTTTATACGCGGTAGTGCCACGCTGTATTATGATTGTAGCACGATTGGGTCGGCTCGACTGGGAGGAACTTTGCTCTCCCAGAATACCAGAGTAAATGAGACTGTGTTTCGTATTATGAGTGTAGAGAACCAGAGACCCTTATTACTGGAAATGAGGCACTCCATCTGAATCCTCAAAGGTGACAACGCATCTGGATTTTACTTTGTAATTGCAGATATATGTAGATTGTCTATGGGCCACAGCATTTACTTAACATTAAATGGACTGTGTGCTCATTTGTCACCCATATTATTTTTAAAAAAAAACACATGTTAAGTGTACCAATACGCACTGCAACGAGGAGGATTCATCACGTCCACAATGGTCAATGGACACATTGAGAAGACCTGCATGTCTGAGAAATAAAATGTTTTGTGAACATATGAAGTCCGCCAATACGCACTGGAGCAATATAGCGGATTAAATACCCTCATTACACTCTTGAATATGAGGAAATAGAAAAAGTAATCATATTTACAGACTGTCAAAAGTACACTGCTGAATATACCCTCCACTGTCACGTTTGGCAAGTTATAACCCTCACTGAATTAAAAGAATGTATGTGCAATGCAGAAGAAGTAGCAGAAGCAGATATATAGGTTGTAACTTTAAAGGATTAAAAGTCTCTGAAGTAACATTCAAGAGACTTTTTCGATGATCTAGTTATGTATTAGCACCTTCTATTAAGTACGTATTTATTTAAATGTTGAGGAATAAAATTCTTAGTCTAACTACGAATTTTATAGATAATTAATATTTAAAGAAACCCCGATCATAAAAGCTAACTTCCGAAGAAATACAGTTTTAAGCTCAGTACAGACTATGTTATACAATTCTGATTTAAACTCATTGTTTCTGTGAGGAATCCAATACTCTATATAGCGTAGAAATAAGGTGTCAAAATGAATGTTTGGGTATCGAAAGACAATACTTGATCATTCTGTACATCATCATCATCATTACAGCCATTCACAAGTCCACTGCTGAATATAGGCCTCCCCCAAGTAATGCCACAAAGCACGGTCCTGAGCCATCTGCATCCATGGACTTCCTGTATGTCTTACTAGGTCGCCACTCCAGCAGGGGTCCCTCTACACTAAGCCTACCGGTACGAAGCTGATACTCGAGAACCTTGATCATTCTGTACACATAAAGAAAATTTTGTGTTTGTTTTATATCACGAACTAATGAGAAATTCAATTTAAATATAATTCTTCTAAACTTTCACGTATTAAAAGAATGAAAGTCAATCCCTTTACAAATAGCAATGCTTTGTTATTTGATTAAGTCGACAATGTGTACGGGAGTTTACAGACAATGCAGCGGCTGTCACATGACGATGACTGTTATATCATCGTTGATCAATTGTTTGTTGTTGTACGTCACGCATAACCTCGTGCTATATTTTGAATGTTAACACTGAAAAAGTACTGACGTACAAGTTTTGATGAACATAAACTTCTTTTGGGCTTATTTCAAACTTATAAAAATATTTCAAGGACTAAACATTCTAAACAATACTTAATAGTGATGTTACGATGGTTGATCCCTTTGTACTTGTAATGTATTGAAATATTTTCTTTGACGTAAGATGAAATTTTTGTTTAACATTTTATAGAATTGCAATGTAGCATGTCTTCAAGACAGGAATGAATATGTTCACTTTACCTTCTTGGGCTGCATCATCACTTATCATCAGTACGAGATAATAGTCAAGCACTGACTTGCAATAGTTAAAATAATGTATTTTTTATTTAAGTCTCATTTCATAATCCTTCAGAGAAGGACTAACATGTGTGTTTTAACAAATATATGTATGTATGTATATCTGGTACTTTGTAACACTCGTAGCCTAAATGACCTAAAATCTTATCGAACTAACTTTTTTGGTGATAATACCACCACTCCTCTTGCTTAAAAATGATGTTTGCTTGGAGCTAATTTTACCCAATGCAGTGATATATCTTTATTTTCCTAATAATAATTTACATATTGTATGTTTTTACGGTCAATAAAAGAAAAATACATAATTTAGAGAAAAGCGGTTAAAGTTACAGCCTATATACGTCCCACTGCTGGGCACAGCTCTCCTCTCATTTCTAAGAGGGTTTTAGGGCAAAGAAAAGTCCGCCACGCTGCCCCAATGCGTGTTGGCGAATTCACATGTTTTCATAATAGTATTTTTATTTTTCAGACTTGCAGGTTTCCTCACGATGTTTTCTATCACCGCAGAGCACGTGGTAAATAAGCGGTTAAAATTGCAGTTAACAATTCAATTGGTGAAAAAATAGAAAAGTAGACCAGTATATAATTGAATTATATTTTCTGTCAATAGTTTACTAGCCGGTAATGACGGTGATGATGATTAAAAACATAAGTGTACTTCGAAATAAACGGCAATTAAGAGCTATTACATTAGTTTTGCTATTGTTTGTCCTTAATGGTGGCGTAAAAAAATTCCTTCACCCTTTTGTTCCATGGGTGTCGTAAAAGTTATATATATATATATATATATATATATATATATATATATATAGTAATAGTGATTAATACTAAAATATCTTTTGGATTCCGACTGATCGTGGTTTACAATCTCGTTAACGCCAGACGTAAAATAGATTGGCGACGCGACGGACATTAGCATCTAAGGTGCGAAACATTTACTATAGTCTTAGAAAAAAAGTCGTTGGTTTTTAAAATAGGAATTACGGTCTGAGCTTTATGGTATATATGAAATAAAGGTCGCTGGGTACAGCCCGCCTCTAATCTCTGAGAGGGTTTTAGGTCAAGGAAATGTCCGCTGCGCTGCCCCAATCTGACTTCACATGTCGTTTCACAGACGTTTTACACATTTCACAGGTTTCCTCACGATGTTTTCCTTCGCTGCCGAGCAAGTGGTAAATCAGTACTTGAAATTGTAATTAACTATTTCATTGGTTCCGGCGGGGATCGAACCCGGGTTACTCGCGAACTGTGAAATTTACAGTATATAATTGTGGGAACGCCGTGTAGTGGCGGTTAAGAATATCTACTATCCCATATCTTACCGTGGGTGGTGTAAAAGGCAACAGAGGCAGCATCAGCATCTTCCTGAGAACAGCAACTGTACAACAAAAAACTGCAGTTGCCAACCCGCTCGCCAAGCGTGGCAACTATGGCAATATACCCCCTATCAACCATTACACAAATAGACGGCCCCCAGTCCCCGGCGGCCCCGCTATTCCTGGCTACGGTGGCAACCATGGTAACAGCGGGGCAGGGGGTGCTAAGAATATCCGGTGGAGGTTCGGTTGCCACCTACAACGACCTGGCAACATATAACGCACGCACCCAAGGACTGACGAGAAGATCCTGGAGCTGGAAGTAGAAATAAACAAGTTGCGCTGGAATATTATAGGATTATCCGAGGTCCCAAGAGAGGGGGGATGACACGGTGATTCTCGGATCCGGCAACTTGCTCTATCACCGGGAGGCCGACCATTTGTCCCATGAAGGTGTTGGATTTATCGTCCACAAGTCTCTCTCTAACAACGTTTTAAAGATTGGGAGTGTATCGATGAGGGTTGCGTACCTAATACTCAGAATCACCAAAAGGTATTCGCTGAAGGTCATACAGGTTTACGCGCCAACGTAGGAACATCCCGATGAGGAGATGGAGGAAATGTATGAGGACATTTCTAGTGCCATGCATTCCTCCAAAACTCACTGTACGGTGTTAAAGGGAGACTTCAACGCAAAACTGGGCACAAGAAGGAACAGTGAGCTGAAGGTAGGGAAACTTGGGATAGGGCAACGGAACCCAAGGGGCTAGCAGCTGGCCGACTTCATGGAGAAAGAGGAACTTTTTATGGGTCGAGCCCCGATGGTTCGACAAAAAATGAGACTTGTCTTGACTTCATTATGACGACCAGGCGCCAACTGTTCAGTGATGTCTCAGTGATTGCAAGGGTGAAAACTGGCAGCGATCACCGAATGGTTAGAGGCACACTAAAACTAAACGTTAAGTTGGAGAGGTCTCGTCTAATGAAGTCAACGCTCCGTCCCCCTCGTACTCTAATCCAGAATCCCGAAACCTTTCCGCTCGAGTTACGTAACTGCTTTCAATGCCTAGAAGATTGCAATGCAGTGGACGATATGAATGACAAGCTCGTGGAAACTGTCCATGCGGTCGGAGCAAAGTTCTGCAAGACCCGCCGCAGAATAACACAAAAACTCTCCGATCACACTCTTAATCTCATGGCTGTTAGACGAGAGATGAGGCTGCAATCGTCAACAGATTTGACAGCATACAGGCAACTGAACAGACAGATCTCCAAATGCATGCGGCAAGACTTACGCAACTTTAATACTGCTCGTATTAAAGAAGCGATCGAGCGGAACCAGGGCTCCAAAGTCTTTGCCAGAGATCTGTGTGCCAGAAAGAGCCAACTGTCAAAGCTGAAGACTGAGTGTGGCAGCATCGTTTCCGGGACACCTGAGATTTTGAGTGAGATTGAGAGGGTCTATGGGTAGCTGTACACGTCATCGTTGGAGCCACACGCAAGTGTGAGTAACGATCCAAGAGCAAGTCTTATCCGACACTATTCCGATGATATCTCGGACGTCAGTCTGAGCGAGATTAGAATGGTTCTTCAGCACCTTAAAAACGGCAGGCGAATTAGAGCGGAACTTCTGGAAGCGGGTGGAACACCGGTACTTGAAGTCCTTCAGAAGCTCTTCGATTCCGGCCTCCGTGGTGGCACTACTCCGAAGGCATGGAGCAGAAGTGCGGTGGTCTTGTTCTTTAAGGAAGGCGACAACGCTCTCTTGAAGAACTACAGACCGATTTCCCTTCTGAGCCGCGTCTTCGTGCTGTTTTCGAGAGTCATTACGAATCGTCTCGCACGCAGACTCGACGACTTCCAGCCTCCCGAACAAGCCAGTTTCCGAAAAGGCTTCAGTACCATAGACCACATACACACTCTGCGTCAGATTGTACAGAAGACCGAAGTGCCACTTTGCCTGGCGTATGTGGACTATGAGAAAGCCTTTGATTCCGTAGAAGTGTGGGCGGTGTATTCTGAGAAATAAAAAAAACTATTATGAAGTTCCTTCAGCGGTGCCAAGTTGACTGTCGCTATATCGGAGTGCTGAAGTGTTTGTACAGTAGGGCTACTATGGCTATCAGAGTACAGAACCAGAGTTCGAAACCTATCCAACTGCAGAGAGGTATAAGACAGGGTGACGTTATATCCTCGAAACTCTTCACCGCTGCATTGGAAGACGTTTTCAGCTACTGGACTGGAAAGGATACGGTATTAACATCAATGGCGAGTACATCACTCACCTTCGATTTGCCGACGATATAGTCCTTATGGCAGAATCGCTGGAGGACCTAAGCACTATGCTCAATGAACTCACTGGTGTCTCCCAACGGATAGGTCTTAAAATGAACATGGACAAAACAAAGATCATGTTTAATGTCCATGTCACACCTATGCCGGTAGTTGTTGGGAGCACTATGCTTGAAGTTCTTGACGAGTACGTTTACCTGGGACAAAGAGCGAAGGAGTCCAACTTCGACCGAAAGGTCAATCGACGTATTCAACTCAGCAGGGCA